GTTTCCGAAGTTTTTCTAAATTTATGAAACTTTTGTTTTCCCGCAATTTTCATGGAATTTGACGAAATAATTAATATAGTTCTATCATTTTCACTGAATTACTTCACATTACGATTACAGAACTTCTTTAAAGTTCTCTAGACTGCCCTGAATTTATCAGTATTTTTTGAGAACCCGCAACTTTACTGGAATTAATTGATTTGCCTTGAAGTTTCGAAAATGTTCCTCAGTATTATAACCATTATTGACACTCACTCTTCCCTGAACTTATCTATGTTTACCTGAAGTTCTCTAAATTTGTTTATTTATCCAGCAAATTTTCTGATATATATTCATAATTCCCTGACTCTTCTGACATTTTAGGATCAATCATAGAATTCTTGGAATACCCTATAATTCCATGGAACTCCTTGTAAGTCGCTGCAAATTTACTTAAGTTAATGGGATTATTCTGAAGCTTCGCTGAATATCATTAAACAATCTAAAAATATCTATTTCTTAAAGATATCGCTGCTTGCTAAAAGTTCTTCGTTGATGTTCTCTAATCAACTTAGCTAAATGTTCGCATTTTTTATGCTCTTGAAATCTTCATGATATAACACCCTTAAAATACTCTCACGTTTTCCGAATGTTCATAAAATTTCCAGGAATTCTCTCAGAGTTTTACTGAAATTTTCGGAAATTCACTGAGTTTCTCGAAACTTCTTTAAGGTTTCTAATATTTCCTTGAAATTATTTGAACTGCCCTTTGATTCTCTGACCTGTCTTGATGTTCTCGAAGCTTCCACAAATCTCCTAGTTCTATTGAAGATCTCGGTTTTTCCGGAAATAAACACCTTTAAATTTCCCTGAAATTCTCTGGACTTCTGTGAAGTGTCTTTAATATATATGAAGTTTTCATAAATTCTCTGAAGGTCTCTGTACTTCCCTAAAATTTGCGGAACATCTTAAGGGTTTTCGATTGTTTTTCAGCCCATCATGGAACTATCTTGAATTTATCTTAATTTACGATTATAGATTTTTAATCTATCTAGCTTTTCTGAGGTGCTTAGAAAAATTTGCACAATACCCCTCAAGGTTTCTAAATTTCTCAAGTTCGCTTGACACCTGTGAAGTCCTCTGAAATTCTAGTAACTTCATAAAAGTTCCTGGAAAGTCTTGGATGCTAAAAAAAACCGCTTTGAGGTTCTTACAGCTTCCAATAAGTTTCCCATATTTTCAGCGTGTTAACTTCCCTTTTGATCATGCAGTTTGTTTTCTAGAGCTTCACTGAAATTCTTAGCATTTCCTTTCATTCATCAGAATTCCTGCAAAGATCCTCCAATTGTTGTAAAGTTAATGGGACTGCATTTAAGATCTCTAATCTTTCATAAAGTTAATTACGAACTTGAAATAAATCATTTATTTGTTTACTTAATTCTGGCACTTTGAATACGAAACATCAAGACATTGAATATTTTTAGATCTTGGACTTACTTACTTGGAAAACTCAGGTAATTTTATCCCGAAAAATGAGTAGACATCTTATATAGAGAGAGACGATTAAACGTCACATCGCAAAGAATAATCAATCTTGAAATAAATTCACGCTAAAACAGTTGAAAATAGTGACTTTTTGCACGAAAAAGTGGCTTTAGTGACTTGGGCTTAAAAAAAGAGACTTTTTAGTGACTGACTTGAAAAAAGTGACCAAGTCACTAAAAAGTGACTCGCTACCAGCCCTGCTGAAGGACCTGAACTTCTACGTACTTTTTTATGTTCTCGAAGATGACCTAAGGATCGTGGAACTGTCCCGGAATTCTCTTAACGACCCTGGAGTTCTATGGACTTCCCTGAAGTTCTCTGATCTTTGCCTGGACTTCACTAAAGTTTTCGGAACTTTCTTCATGATTATGGTACATGTCTAAAGTTCGTGTTTCCAAGAACTTTTTTGAAGAAATTTGAATTTCACAGAAACTTCTCTAAATAAACGGAATTTTTGGTAACTTCTATGTACCTTCTTGAAGTTCTTACAATATTCAGAATGTTCTCGGAACAGAAATGCAACATGAACATTCCTGAAGTTAACACAATTTCCCTAAAGTTTTCGGAACTGTTTTGCTGAACTTTCCAGAAGTTTTATGAACTTTCCAGAAGTTCTATGAACTTCCCCACGAAGTCCTATGCATCTCTTTAAAAATTCCTATGAACATCTTCGAGAAGCCCTATGAACTTTCCCAAGCCGTGTTATGAGCTTCCTCAATAAGTCCTATAGACATCTTCTTGAAGTCCTATGGAATTCCCCGAGAATTGCAATGTACTTCTTCTGAAAGTCTAATGAACTTCCTCTAAATGTCGTATGGACTTCGGCGATAATTTCAGGGAGAATTCCTATACACTTATCTTCACGAAGTTCTTAGGCCGAGCTTAGGACACTTCTTGAGGATGATATGATATAGACTTCTACGACATGCCAAAGAAAACCTATGAATTTCTTCGAGGAGTCATAAGGGCATCCCCGAGAAGTCCTGTAGACATCCGCAAGAAGTACTATGAACGTCCTCGATAAGTTCTAGGAAATTTCCCTAAAAATCCTTTCATCCTATGACCTTATGCATTTTTTCAAAGTCATTTAGACTACATCGAGTAGTCCAACTGCTGTCCTAAATAAGTCCTATGATCTTCCTCAAAAAGTACTATGCTCTTCCCCAATACCCTTTATGTACTTCTCCGAGAGTTCCTAAGCACTTTTACAGGAAATCCTATTCCTCATAGTCCTCTAGATGTATTATGATCTTCCCCAAGTCTGAAGTTTAAACCCTTGATTACTTCCAGAATTCTCATGAACTCTCCTGAGAAGTTCATTGAACTCCTTCAAGAATAGTTTGTAATGCCTTTGTTTTGGTTCGGGCAATCGACAATAACATTAAAATAATCACTATGTGCACATTCAGTTGTACTCAAAAGAGGGTAAATCAAAATGAGCGTACAACAAATTTATACTGACCCTTTTTTGGAAATTACCAAATGTGCAAAAAATATCAATAAAAGCAATATTTGACAAATGAAGCATTACCAAATATGTATTTACCATTGACAAATGATTAGCCGAACAGCCAAAATGTACTTAGTAGAATTTCACAGAACTTGAGAAAAATGCAGAAAGGAAAATTTGGTTTAAAATGGTTTGCAGAGCTTCACAAAAGTTCACTGAATTTCCTTAAAAAATTAACAGAGCTTCAGAAAAGTTCGCAGATCTTCAGTTGAGTTCGCTGAACTTCAGAGGAGTTCGCAGAACTGAACTGTAATTTCCTTAAGAGTAATTTCACTAAAAATCACGTTTCCCAAGTCTAGGGAAGCTAGTTAGATTTCCTGGGAAACAGCTACAAAAGGCATACTAAATATAAACGTTTAAAGATAGCTCACATCGACCAGGAAACCATTCCCGGGAAATTAACTCTGTGTAGAACTATCAAAAAAATAAAATTATTTCCAGTGGAAGCTGATGGAAACTTTTTGGAGAGGGTGGAAGAAACTTCCAGAGAACTCAGAAATAATGTCCGGGGAAAGTTCGAAGAGTCTTTCGAGGGAACTCTGAGAGAGCGTTCGGTGCAAGTCGGAGGAATTTTTTTTTTTTATAGTCACTTTAACACTCTTGGGTCATTCGTGACTTGTCCGGGGGTGAGATTTGAACTCGTGACTCCGGCGTGAGAGGTATGGATGCTAACCACTACGCCGGAGTCGCCCCCAGTCGGAGGAAATTATCAGAGAAAGTATAGCTAAACTTCTACTGTGTTACCTGACTTATAACGAATATACGTTACTTCGTCATTGCAAATGCTATGCAAAATTAGACGAGTCATATCGTCATTGAAAAAAACGTTGTATTCGGGGTACTTGTATACAACGTATATTCGGTATAAGTCAGGTAACACAGTAGAGTCCGGAGACACTTCTGGGACAAGTCAGCAGAGACCTCTAGGGGAAGTTGGAAGGAGCTTCCAGGAGAAATAGAGTCAGTCAGAAGAAACTTTCAAAGCTAGACTGTTTAAAACTACTATATGATGTAGGAAGAAACTTCAGGCGGAAACCAGAAACCCTTCTGGGAATGCCGGAATAAGCTTTCAGGAGAAGTTGCAGGCAAATTTAGGTGGAATTCAGAAGAAACTTCCATTGGAATTCGAAAAAAAAAACCTTTCCCGAAGAAGTCGGACGAGGAGGGTTAGAACAAAAAGTTCGTCGGGGGATCTTGAACAAACAAATTTTGTATCGATTTTTCGATAGAAAAGAATTTATCGTGAAATGGCTCAATTCAAAAATTTCTCATACTGACTTACATTTTGTATGTTTTTATATTTACCTCAAGGCTCTGGGAGGAGGCCCCCTCGCTGCACTACTACTCAAGAATAGATAATTTAGGGTTTAAAACAATTCTCGTAAGATCCAAACAATTCCAGTCGAAATCGCATCTACCGAAATTTCCTGGCTTATCAACCCACAGATTGGCAACACTTCCTCTATAGCAGGCACAGGCACAGAACACAAAACAAGCAACGAACCACAGCAAGAAACGGTATAGCGAGCAGAGCAAACTTCTCAACGACAGAGATAATGCAATTTTCACAGCTTCCTCCTATCGCTGTGCACTGCAGTAGTGCCTCCGCTCGGTCTGTCTCCAACCAAACCCTTGTTATTCAATTGCGTCCGCATACTGGAGGAGAGATTATATTTTTATCACAACACAACAATCTGCTTCTTATCTTTTTTCCGTCCTCTCTTGGCGAAGTTTCTGAGATTTATGACCTTCCCTGCAGCTTCCTTCCGTGGATAACACAAAAGATTTTCTGAAGCCCGAATTTATCTCTGCTTTCTAAGAACTGGAGATTTTTCGATAATCAACTAAACTTTCCCTTGCAAGATGCATCATGCTGCTGTAGTAGGTAGGTACCTAGATATTGACTGAGACCCAGATATCGATTTTCATATTCCCCGGGATATGCATATAGGGAGATGGCACTCACCGACTCCGTATTTGTTGCTGGTGGGAATCCACATGATTAATCCTTAAAACGGTACGATCCTCCGGTTATGATATTCTATAATCGCTATCACTTAACTGAATAAACTGCGTTTACAATTGAGATTCACGTCACTTATTCCATCGTTCCCTTCGGGAACCAACTTCTTTTCGGTTTCGATTGGATGATTAACATTCGTTTCACTCACAAAAACTGAAGCACGATACAGCCTCCGGCTGCGAACCAATTATTAGTTGTGGTTTTCTTCTCTCAATCACCTTATCTTCTAGCTTTCTTCGTTCGACTTGACTCGAGCGAGACCAACCCTCTTCCGGTCAAGATTTCCTCTCGAGACTCTGTAGTTGCTTTCAAAACACACAAATCACTTCTCGGTGGTGGACACCTTGTCACTCACATCCCGCGCGTCCCAGGTGGGTTGAGATTCGACACTATTCGCAGAATTATTATTTTCACAACGACGACGACGGCGACCGAGAAAAATCAATAAATCGAGAGCACTCCCTCCTGTCCCGGACAACAGTAGCAGCAACGGCAGCGGCGCGCCTTCTCTTCCTGAAAACCAAAACACCACACACTCGCCCGAGACGGGGAAAGCCACCGACTCGCCTGGTTTTGCACTGCCAGCTGCTCGCCTGGACCACTGACGGACGGACGGGCGGATGACCTGCCAGCCACTTGCCACTTCAATCACGAACAATGCAACTTTGGCAGTTTCTAATTTTCCAATCTTCGGGAAAACCGCCCCTCTGCCCTTGACCACCGCTCACACCACACTGCCACGGACTTATAGGGGAGAACGGGGGGGATGCTGACTGCGTTGGCTGACCGTGGATAGAACTTTTTTCCGGCTGCTTTCTACTGGGAGAGGGAAAAAAACGATGACCGCACAGCGCACACACCGTCACCGTAAACTAAAATCGGAGGAAACCACGACGACGACTGCAGGTTTCTTCGCGGGATCACAAGACGACTTTCTTCCAGCGACGTTCGCACGCAACTACACAGTCTTTTGGCTGGCTGTCATCTTTCTCGGCTCGCGAGTCACGACGGACGGACAAGAGTGATTCTACAAACACTCCCGTACTACGAAGACGACGGACAACCCACCCACACATTCGTAAAAAGCTTGAATGAAAACACTGCACACCACGAGCGGAAGAAGACGTACTAGAGAATAATAAACAAAAGAAGAGTACGAATGCTCGCTCGTGTATGCGAATGCAAAGGACGGATTGTGTGTACAGACTGTACAGACACACACACTACCGTTATCCTGTTTACCGTTGTGTTCACTGCAGCGCAGCACACTGTGGTGTTTTTTTTTTGTTTACCGTGCTCTTGTGTCAAAGTCGGTTTGTTTTGTTTTTCGCATCCCGACCCGACCAAGATCCATGCAACTTACAGGTTACTCGTATTGCAAAATCCAACCAAGCGGTCATTTTCATATTATTTATTACACTCAAAAATATTACAAAACGAATATAGATTAAATTGTATGCATTTTATGGATTTTCAAAATTTATACATTGGTTCGATTAAAATTTTCGTCAAAATTATACTATGTCCGAATAACGGAGTGGAATTCGATCAGTGTTTACTAAAATGATAGGAAAAAGAACATCTGGATTCTCTTCGAAGCTTCGTGCTGGTGAAGAGCTTCATCCCGGCGGATTTCTACTGCACCTGTGATCTGCTGGGCAGCTAGGCTGCGTGAGCGCGAGTTCATCCTGACGAACATCGAAATTGTAAGTATTTTTTAAATAATATTCATAAAAAATAAAATAATTAAAAACCCTTCCTGAGACAATTTTTATTTTTATTTGAAAACAATAATATTTACCATAAATGAAATAAAGAAGCGAAAAATACATTTTCTCGAATAAACCGTACACACTGGAGTCGCTTTTTACGCGGTTTTTTTTACAAGGTTTTTTTTTACACGGCTAGTGCCGCTGAGTCGCAATTTACGCGGTACGTTTTTAACGATTTCTCGACAACGATACAACCTATCGACTTGATTCCAATCACATTATCCGTTTCAAGCTATAGGTAATCGAATGGCATACTTTAAAAAAAATCACAATTTTTTGTGTAAATACAGAATTTTTTTAAATATGTCTATATGGACCATAGCATGCTATAATAACGAATGGCATCAAAATCCGATTTATAAAAAAATATTTAAGCATGTGAAAAATCAAAATCTTGGTAGTTTTTTTTACGCGGTTTTTTTTTACGCGGCACGTATCCCCCGCGTAAAAAGCGACTCCAGTGTACTAAGTCTGCATTCTCTCCCTTTAAAACGACCTTTACGTCGGTACGGAGAGTTGCGATTTAGTGTAACTTTTATACTATTTAGATTTCAATATTTTGTGACTGCGGGGCTGGTAGTGGATATTTTATGCTATAGTTGTGGTTGTAGTGTCTAAAATAACGAAAAAGTGACCAAATAGTGAGATTAAAACAGACAAAAATGACCAATAGTGACATTTATTGATCGGAAAGAAATGAAAGATGTGGTTCCGATAGGTTCCGATCTGTCGTTGAATGCGATCCACTTTGAGAAATATTATAAACTCACAAACCAGCATTTTTCAATAGGTTAATTTCTAACCTCCACTTCCTCACACAGTACTCATTTTCCTGTCTCTATTTTTGGGAAACCAACCATTTAAGTTGAACTTAGATTCTGAACGCGAATTGGTTATGAATGAATTTCGGGATGTGAACAATTGAACATAGTTATTAATTAGGAAATCTTGAAATTGAGAAAAATTGAGGTGCAGAGAGAAAAGCTCAAAGTCTAGGACAAATTTGTCAATTTTAAGATAAGCAATTTTAAAGATCTCGAATATAGAAACTTCTGTAAAACTTCGAACATAGACAAATGTTCATATCTCTGGAACCTAGATAACTGTTCTAGATCGTAGTCCAAGAAAAATTATCATTATTCTGGAACGAGACAAATTGTCTCACTTAGAAAGACAATATTACACGCGTTTATGTTTTAAAATATTGATCTTGAAAATAGTTGTAAGATTCTGGTCATGCTTGGCATGCACAGTTGTACACACCAACTGCTCATTTGTTATTAACTTTTCACTCAGTTGTTGAAATTAGTTTTTTTGAAAGTAATTGATAGATTAGGCACAGACAAACAGACATAACACTCTCAAGTTGTTCATCGAACAAGCATTTAACGGTCGATTTAAAAGTATCGTAGTTGGTAGTACCGCCACCTGTGGCGCGCATAGTCAATTCCCTTGCATTTGACGTTTACACATTACCGCCATCTGTTCAGCGTACTACCAACAATCAATACGAAACTAACGATTTTAAATTGGCTCACCACTTTAGTAGCCTATTGGTCCCAAGCAAACGATTAACGTACCCTATTCTAGTTGAAATTCTATTACTACACTATGTTTGTTTTGATTCGCTATGAAAGTTTGACAGATAACATCAGGGGTGTGTGGATTCATGCAGAACATGCAGGGGTGAGTGAAATAGCTTGGGACTGCTTGGTACCGTTGTTCTGGTACTGAGTGAGCCAAAAATAATAATGATTTTCTTCGGGACCCAGTGGTCTTAGAGTTACCTCTATGGTACTACCATAGAGGTAACTCTAAGATCAGAAGGTCCCAAAATAACGTGCTCCACTTTTTGGCTCAGCTCTGGTACTCTCTTCGGTCCCAAGGTAATCGATTCACCCCTCGAAACATAGGAAAAACCAATAACCCCTCATTTTATCTGTCAAATTTTCATAGCGAATCAAAACAAACATTGCGTAGTACTAGAATTTCGACTAGAATAGGGTACGTTAATCTTTTGCTTGGGACCAATAGGCTAGTCAAGTAGTGAGCCAATTTAAAATCGTTAGTTTCGTATTGATTGTTGGTACTACCATAGAGGTAACTCTAAGACCACTGGGTCCCGAAGAAAATCATTATTATTTTTGGCTCACTCAGTACCAGAACAACGGTCCCAAGCAGTCCCAAGCTATTTCACTCACCCCTGCATGTTCTGCATGAATCCACACACCCCTGATGTTATCTGTCAAACTTTCATAGCGAATCAAAACAAACATAGTGTAGTAATAGAATTTCAACTAGAATAGGGTACGTTAATCGTTTGCTTGGGACCAATAGGCTACTAAAGTGGTGAGCCAATTAAAAATCGTTAGTTTCGTATTGATTGTTGGTATTACCACACACAAAAAATTATTGTTAGTAAAATTGAAAAATCCATTGGTAGAATTAAAAGTTTCCGTTGGTTCTTTTTGGTAGAAAGTCTTTAGCTTTCAAAACAAAAGTCAGCTAACTGTTAATTCAAAAGTAACTCGTTTTTTACTTTTAAAAGTTGAAACTTTCAAATCGAATTGTAGAACTGTCAATACGAAAACCTATTTTGTTAAATAGACTTATGAAAGGATTTAATTTAAAAGATGGGCAGTTTTATCGCAATGATTTATGTTTTCATTTCAAATATGAATCTTTTTAATTAAATTGCTTTTTACTTTGAAAGAAATAAAGCATAGAAATATTAAATTTAATATATTTTAGTTTATTTATATGATGCTGACTGAAAGGGCACGGCATTATGGAACTTCAAAGCATGGGAAGCGTATTACGCAAATATACAGTTGGCTGAACAGCTGGTGATGGTTATGGTGGGAGCAGCCTTCCTTTCCGGCAATTCTGACGAGGCTGCTGGAAATCAAAACACATCAATTAGGAAAATTGGCAAGCAAACTCTTCGAAAATTTCATCATCTTACCTCCAAATCCCGCAGCTGGAGGATCTTTCCAATCCTTCCACTTCATAGCGTCACCACGAATGTCTCCATCTTATTTTTAGTATCTTACAGAAGAGAAACAAGCGCACCGGTGGATGAAAATGTGGAAAAGTTCATGAAACTGCTGCTGCTCATGCTAATTCTCACAGCTGCTTTTGTTTTGTTTGTTTGTTTCGCATGTCCAATTTGGCGGGAAACACAGGTTCAGTACTGTCAAACACATCGCAAGGAAGAGATTTTTTTTGACAATTTTACAACTTTTATTCTAAAAAATAAACTTTTAAAATTACAAGCCGAAAGTGAAAGAAACACTTTTAAATCAAAAAAATTATTTTACATTTTAAAAATTTCATAGTTGAAACTACGAAATTTGGGAAACTTTTAATTTGATCATGCGTTATTCTTAAAGGAACAATTTTTGTTTTTTGTGTGACAAACGAAGTGACAGACGACTTACTGGCGAAGAAATCCATTAAAATAATGTGGTTCACTGTAATAGAATTTTTTTGGAAGCTTGTGCCACAGACAAACAGACATAACACTCGCAAGTTGTTCATCGAACAAGCATTTAGCGATCAGTTTAAAAGTATCGTAGTTGGTAGTACCGCCACGTGTGGCGCGCATAGTCAATTCCCTTGTGTTTGACGTTTACACACTACTGCCATCTGTTCAGCGTACTACCAACAATCAATACGAAACTAACGATTTTAAATTGGCTCACCACTTTAGTAGCCTATTGGTCCCAAGCAAACGATTAACGTACCCTATTCTAGTTGAAATTCTATTACTACACTATGTTTGTTTTGATTCACTATGAAAGTTTGACAGATAACATCAGGGGTGTGTGGATTCATGCAGAACATGCAGGGGTGAGTGAAATAGCTTGGGACTCCTTGGGACCGTTGTTCTGGTACTGAGTGAGCCAAAAATAATAATGATTTTCTTCGGGACCCAGTGGTCTTAGAGTTACCTCTATGGTACTACCCACCACAGTGTACTCAACAGATGGCGATAATGTTTTAGCGACGATGTTTTACAGTGATGAATATTCAATGTGTTATGTCTGTTTGTCTGTGCTTGTGCCATCATCCACCAGATGGGTTAGTTTTTTTTGTTTTGATTTGAACAAAGTTGATTTTGTGTACAATGATTCTTTGACAGTGTGCAAAGAGTGCGTATCATTTTGTCATTTTTTATGCATTTCAGTTTTGAG